CCAAAAATGTTTTTAGCTTCATCAGAAAATTTTAATTTTTTAAAAAAATTTTCTGTTGAAAATTAAAGTTATTTTATTAATATTTTTTCTTTAGTCCATGGATAACCTAGTACTTGATTAATTTGTAAACATTGGGGAATATTTAGTATACTTTTGTTATCAAGTTTTGATTTCATTATTATCAGATATGTATTCTATATGATTTAAGTACTGTGAAATATATCACAATATGTTATAGCTCGGCTTATAATCTATTTCTGGTGAATGTTCCATGAGCTCGTTGAGATAAATAGAATAATCCACATTCGTTTTCTCTTTCCTCATTCTCATACTAATACAGATTCTGTCAACTTGCCTGTTTGAAATTACGTGAAAATCTCATACATTGCCTCTTAGAGGAGAAAATTGCTTTATCTTCATTGGAATCATTTTCAATGACTTTGTTTTTTGTTTTGTTTTTATAGAGGCTTTTTGCTATAGGGCACATGCACTTGCCAGAAAGACAGAGACAGAGAGACAAAAAGTGAAAAATTATCCCCCGGGGGGATGGCCTTGCCACAATCCCTTCTCTTCCATTCTACTCTTGGGATCTTGGGCACACATGCACATGCACCTGACATGAGTTTAAGCCATTGGGTCTGGGACTCAAACCATGGTTGACTAAATGGGAGTCCCAGCGACATAGCCATTACTCCAACTGCTGGTTCCAGCGACTTGTTCTAAAATTATCTGTTCTCATCTGTTGTAGAGAGCTCAGATGATATCTAAAAAGGCACATTTTAACATTTAATATGGTCAGCATGATTGCCTACTTTCATATAATAGTTTAAATGAGAGAGCTTTTACATATTTCATTGCTGCCCAGACTGGACTTTCCCTTTGTATAATTTGGCCTCAAATTGTTCTTTCATGATTTTTTTCCCCATTGGGCATGGTTTTATAAATCTTGTCTTACTAAGTTATTATACTTGTGGCTCTCTGGAGATGCAGAGTCTAACCTCAGAATTATTACGGTCCCAGTGAATTTAATTAGAGAAAATCACCCTTGGAAATGCACCAATTGGATGGCTGAGCAAAATGTACTGTAGTTCAACTGTAGATAAAGTGCCCACAGACTTTTGTCTTTTCTTCATAGAGTGTTTGTCTGTATCAGTATTCACATGACTGACTTTTTCAGGAATTAGAATGATGAACTCCAGATATGATAAAATAGAGATTTAAATTAGTCTCTCTTTTTCAAACAACCCAAAGTTCAACTATGTAATATGAAAACAGAGCAGTATAATTGATTGAAAATCAAAATATTATGAAGGTCATTTTATTATTTTACTTTTAATAAAATAAAACGCATATTATAAATATCTTTAAAAATTTATAATTCTGTCTCCTACCTAATTTTACAGTCTTAAGATGTTGATTTAATATTTATTAGTCATTTGAATGAATTTTCTCAATAATAAAAACTGGTTCTTTTTGTAATCAAGATTAGAACTACTCTGTATGACAGCATATTCTTTTTTTCAAAAAAAGTTGATTAATTAATTTCTTCCACAAGAGAGAATGACAGACAACCCAAATAGTGTGTGGTACACTGCAATATACCTATATCTTGCAGGGTATTCTTGATCATTCATTTTGAAAATTCACAATTTAAAAGGTAACTTTAAATTTTTTACTTAAAGACTGACATGAATTCTCCCTCTGCAGCATGAGAAGAGCTGATCATTTGGAAACATTTCAAGGTCCAGTGCTGATACGTGTGTCACTTTGTTCTCTGCATTCACAGAGATGGTGTCAGTGGATGAAGCTGTTATCTTTAGAGCGAGAGAGCAGGTACCTCAGTTCAGTACTTGGACTAAATGACTGTGTCCTTGTGCAGGTAACCCAGCAAACATAATTATGTGAAGACTATGGGCAAGGCATTACATTATACAACAGTACATTGGTACTGTGGGGATTCACAGTGTTTTAAAAGGTTTTGATAATCAGCCACATTATAAGTACTTTGTTATTGCTAAAATATAGGAAATTGACTAAGTTTTTTAATATTTCTTGGATAGCCATAACAAATTTACATCTCTAATAAGGGCTCTTAGAAAATAACTTTATGTATAACTATTTGGGGATATTTTAATGGGCTTATATTTGTAAATCTCTTGACAGAATTAATGTGTTCTCTAAGTATTGTTTAATATATTCAAAGTTGGAAGATGAGGTAACATTTGTAGAAGTTGGGTGACTTTCTTTTTTAAAAAAATGTATTTAATTCAATTTGTTATTATTATTATTATTATTTAATTTGACCAGAGAGGGAGAGAAAGGGAAAGTGAGGAAGCAAGCTACCAGGTCCAGGACTCAAACCGTGATTGGCCATGTGGGAATCCAATGCCTTTAACCACCATGCCATCTGCCATCCTCGAATAAGTGAATTTCAAAAATGTAAGATGATAATTAAGCTTGCTGTTATTTGATTTCAGAGGAATGTAAGTTAAGTAAGTAGTGGGCTGAAGCTGATCACTGGACTTATTAAAAGGAAGGTGTTTTTTCTTTTTCTTTTTCTTTCTTTTTTTTTTTTTTGAGAGGTTTTCGCTATAGGGCGCGTGCGCTCGCCAGACAGACAGAGAGAGACATAGAGACAGAAAGTGAGAAATCACCCCCCAGGGGGGATGGTCACGCCGCAATCCCTTCTCCTCTATTCTCCTCTTGGGATCTTGGGCACGCACGCACACGTGCCCCGCGTGAGTTCTAAGCCACCGGGTCTGGGACGCGAACCGCGGTCGACTACGTGGGAATCCAGCGACATAGCCATTACACTAACTGCTGGTTCCCAGGAAGGTGTTTTTATGAAGAAGAACACAGAATTGAAGAAGGGTGCTTACTTAAAAGTGATGTGGTGTCAAAAGACAGATTAGTTTTTTTAATATGAAGATATGCCATATAAACATACTGACAGTATGATGCAAGATAGGCAGAAGTAATGATGTAAAGAATGGAGTAGAAAATTGCAGGAGCACTGCACTTATGAGTGCTGAAGAGGATGGAATCCAGAGCACAGCAGGGATGTGGGGTATAGTTTGGAACACAGCTATTGTGAAGAGCAGGGAAGGCCAAATTAATGAGGGCAGATTGGAGCAAATGCTAATAGAGATTTAGAAAGTAACTGGTTGTCAGTACTGGAATTATGTTAAGAAATGGCTGGGCTGAATATGGATACTATTTACAATTTCATTTTTATTTGTATGAGCTCTTCTTTTTCTGTTTCTTTTTTTCTTTTCTTTTGATTCGTATTCATCCCTTCCTTAATTTACATCCTTATTTTTAGTTCCTTATAAACTGTTTGCCTCTCTCTGCATCACCAGCCAAATTAAACCATATTTACAAGAATGAAATGTATATTGTCTTATATTTTTCTATACTTACATAATCTTGTGTAACCATTTATCAATATATATAGAAATGGTATTTTAATTTTTAAAAATAGTAATATTGTATTACAAATAGTGTTTTATGCTTATTTCTTTCTTATTCAGTAGTACCTTGTAGAAATTAATTACATCATAGCTGTAATTAATTTTTAAATGATTTATTTTAATAGATTTTATATTCTATTTAACCATTTGCTTGTTAATTATTTTATTTTGTTTTTGCTTGATAACATGAAAAATAAGACTACAATAATATGCCATGCATATGTTCTTGTGGTTTAGAGCTTTAATTTCAATGAGAAAGATTCTAAGAGTAATTGTTATGAGGAAAGACATACACACATACACACACACACACACACACACACACACACGTATATTTACTCTCAACAGAGATTGCTAAATTCCATTCCAAAACTATTATAAAAGTCAATTTTCACTAGGAATATTAATTTATTAATTTTTGTCACTTGTAGCTATTACCGTTTTAAAACTTTTTTGTCAGTCTAATGGACATAATTTTCCTATTTTGCATTTTTCTGTTTACATTTGATTTTCAGCAACTTAGTTTATATTTTTTGGTCTGTTTGGATGTATTTTTTCTTAGTTGCTGATTTATGTTATTGTACACTTTGCTATGGGTTTGTCTTTTATTTATTAATTGACTAACACTTTTTGTATATTTTAGATATTAAATCTATATTGTCCTCTAATGTAAATGTTCATTTACACTATTTTGTCTAAAACATAATATCCTTTCCTAAATTCTTAAAATATTTAAAAATGATTGAATTGGGATCAGCAGTTAGCGTAATGGCTACGTTGCTGGACTCCCACGTAGTCGACCGTGGTTCGAGTCCTGGACCCGGTGGCTTAAACTCACGCCAGGCACGTGTGCGTGCATGCCCAAGATCCTGAGAGGAGAATGGAGGAGAAGGGATTGCGGCATGGCCATCCCCCCTGGGGGGTGATTTCTCGCTTTCTATCTCTCTGTCTCTCTCTGTCTGTCTGGCGAGCACACACGCCCTATAGCAAAAACCTCTCCAAAAATAAATAAATAAATAAATAAAATAAATAAATAAATAAAAATGATTGAATATGTGTGTTTGTGCTTTTAAGTATTAGTTAATAAAAATTTTATAGCCCTAGGCCATAGAAAGTCATATCATTAATTAATGTAAAAGTAAATATAAAGTAAATCCTACTTTAATTTTATAATAAATCTTTAATCCATATTTACTTAATTTTTATTTAAAGTATTAGCCACATGGAAAAATTTTAGCTTCTAGATTTAAACTACTTGTTACATATTCATTTATTTAATAATCTATTATTTTTCCACATACGTCTTGAACTACCTCTCTATTTATTTGTAAAACCACAGAGATCATTACCTTATTTTAGTAAACCTTGTATTCTTATAATCTCTTTTAGTTCTAGAATATATTATGTCATAATGCCTATTTGTTGGATAAATAAGCACCTTATCCTAAAATTTCATGGACTTACAAGTAATGATTATACTTGCAGGTAATTTTATCCTGAACACTAAAATAAGAACATCTGGAAGGACATATGGAACAAAGAAACAATGTGACAGAGTTTATCCTCTTGGGGCTCACTCAGAGCCTGGAGGGTCAACAGATCTTATTTGTTGTATTCTTGCTCATCTACATTGTGACAATGGTAGGAAATCTACTTATTGTCATTACTGTGGTGGTCAGCCCAACTTTGGATGCTCCTATGTACTTCTTTCTTGGCTACTTATCATTTATGGATGCCGTTTATTCTACTACGGTTACCCCAAATATGATCATTGATTTACTCTATGAGAAAAAAACAATTTCCTTCCAAGCTTGCATGACCCAACTTTTCATAGGACACTTATTTGGTGGTGCTGAGATTTTACTTCTGGTTGTCATGGCCTATGACCGCTATGTGGCCATCTGCAAACCCCTGCATTATTTGACAGTCATGAACAAAAGAGCCTGTGTTCTGTTGCTGCTGCTGGCCTGGGTTGGAGGCTTTGTGCATGCTGTAGTTCAGCTTCTCTTTGTTTACAACCTTCCCTTCTGTGGCCCCAATGTTATTGACCACTTCATCTGTGACATGTACCCCTTATTAAAACTTGCCTGCACTGACACCTACGTTATTGGCCTCAGTGTGGTTGCCAATGACGGGGCAATTTGTGTGGTCATCTTTATACTCTTACTCATCTCTTATGGGGTCATTCTGCACTCCCTGAAGAATCTTAGTCAGGAAGGGAGGCGCAAAGCATTATCCACCTGTGGCTCCCACATCACTGTGGTGGTACTCTATTTTGTACCTTGTATTTTTATGTACGTGAGACCTCCTTCTACATTACCCATTGATAAATCTTTAACTGTGTTTTACACTGTCATCACCCCTATGCTAAACCCCCTAATCTATACTCTGAGAAATGCAGAGATGAAAAATGCTATGAAAAAACTATGGACCAAAAAAAGAAAATAAAGTGTATAAGAAATGAATTATTATTATTATTATTATTATGATTTATCAGTAAAGAGTTATTTCCGTAAAAAAAATAAAAACAAAACAAAACTATGTAATTGTGTTAACAAGTCCTCAGATTTAATGACTTGTGCGTGGTGGAAAACATTTATAATATGAGTAATTCCAAATTATAATATATTTAAGGTTTTCATAATTTCCTTGGAAAATGTATATCATTTTTAGGGAACATAAAAAAGCTTTTTTGAGGGAACCAGCAGTTAGCATTATGGCTATGTCGCTGGACTCCCATGTAGTCGACCGCGGTTCGCATCCCAGACCTGGTAGCATGAAACTCACGCCGGGCGCGTGTGTGTGCGTGCCCAAGATCCCAAGAGGAGAATGGAGGAGAAGGGATTGCGGTGTGACCATCTCCTCTGGGGGCGTCATTTCTTGCTTTCTGTCTCTATGTCTCTCTCTGTCTGTCTGGCGAGCGCAAGCACCCTATAGTGAAAAAAAACCTCTCCAAAAAAAAAAAAAGCTTTTTTGAGACTATATATTTATGACCAAACTTAATATTGTAAATTATTTTTAGTTAATGGAGGAGTTTTTCATGTTTCTGTCTTAAAGTTAATTTTGTTCAAAACTAACAGTGCTCATTTTAGATTTTGGAAAAAATAAAATAAATGCTAAGATGTAAAACTTGGTTTCTTGCACACTACACATGTACACATATTTGTATACATATTTGAAGTATACATTTTATTTTTGAATTTTTAAAATATTTTAAATAAATAGTATTGTTTGTATTGTTTAGCATATCAACATTGAGGAGGATTAATTCTTCAGAGTTTAATATAATTCATAAGGGTTCTAACTATTTTTTAAAAAGCATCTGAATAACAAAGGGAGATATACAGTAAAATAAATCTTGTGTATTTTCTCAATTGGGAAATTATATTGGCTTCACAGGTACGGTAACTTTATTTGGTGCCTTATTTTTGTAAAGACAATCCATTATCCTTCCAGATTTTTTTTTTTTTTTTTTGGAGAGATTTTCACACGTGCCCAGCGTGAGTTTTTAAGTCACCGGGTCCAGGACGTGAACCGTGGTCGATTACATAGGAGTCCAGCGACATAGCCATTATGCTTACTGCTGGTTCCCACCAGATGTTTTATAATTTCTGATAGCTACATTGTAATTCTTCTCCATTCTTCTCTCTGATTTTAGTTGTGCATGCCCCCACGTCTGCCATGATTTTCAAGCTGCCAGCTTCAGGACTTGAACCACACTGTTGGCCATGTGGGATCCAGCTTCTTTAACCTCCACACCAACTGCTAGTTCAATATATGCTGTTTTGTTTTACACACACACACAGACACACACAGAATGCAAATTGTTTGGTAATAAAGACACCAGGATGCATTGCTTCATTTGAGAGACACTTCATTCATGACATCTTTGTCAAAGTTTCTTTATGTATCAGACATATTTACCTTGAATGAGCATGTGCTCAAGAAACATTTTTCCTGCTTTCCCTGCTGAGTCTATATTCATAAGGGATTAAAGATATGGAGAAATGAATGTCTTTAGTAACTCAACACTATAAGCATAACTATGTCATGATTTTCATTTCTATTATTATTAATGAAAATTTCTTATATCATTTTAATTTCCTCTTAAACAAAAATAATATCATCTACCAAATAATGTCAAAACTTTGATTATGCCAGAGGTTACTGGTAACTAAGACCTCCACTTCTGCACACATAATTAATTTTCAACTCTATATAATTCATTTATGTTCATTGGCCTATGAGTTCCCTAAAATAAGGGCAAGTTACTTATGTTTTCTTGAATTCTGTTCTTTGCACAATGTTGAGGACATAGAATCCACTCCACAAACTTTGTCAATTATTTTTAGTCTTGATTTTTTTTTTTTTGCCCTAGGGCATGTGTACTCTCCAGAGAGAGACAGAGACAGTGAGAGGGAAAGTGAGAAATCACTCCCACCATGGGGGATGACATACTGCAATCTTTTCTCCTCCATCCTCCTCCTAGGATTTTGGGCACACATACACATGCACCTGATATGATTTTCAAGCTTTCAGGTATGGTATTGAGCCACAGTTGCCTGTGTGGGAGTCCAGCACTTTAATCAGTATGCCACTTGCTGGCTCCTATTCTTGAATTACTAATCTATTAGAATACAATTTTTTTACTGTTAAGTTTGATGAATTATTTTTATACTAGAAATATATTTTTTATGTATGTATAAATATATATATATATATACAGACACACACACATACATACACACACACACACACAAACCACTCTTATTTGATATTTGTTGGAAATATTTACCTTATTGTCATTTATAATTATGGAAATTTTTATATTTTAATTTACTTTTGCTTTTTTATTTCTTTCATCATATCACAATTGGGAAAATTTTGTATCTTTCCAAAACTATCATTTTGACATATTACTTTAAAATATACTTTTCAAAAAATTGTTTGCATAGTTTAACATCTTATTTTTAACTTTTCAAAAACTTTCTTTCCCAATTCACTGATAATATTTTTGTGTGACAAGAAACTAAGCTTATTCTCTAAATATAGCTAAAATAGTCTGCCAACATAATTTATTTGTTATTTGTTATTATTAGTATTATTTTGAATGTAAAATTTCTCCATTTAAAGTGTCAATATATTTACATGTGAAAGGTAAATCTTGGGCCATTTCTTTTATTTTTTATTTATTTATTAATTTTTTGAGGACTCATGAGACATATATTTTTGTTTAACCAATAAGCGTGCCAACTTCGTTACGAACGGCATTACTCTTTTGCTTGATATACAGTACATCCACGTTAGAAATTTTGTAAGACCTACATAATGATTGAATTTTGAAGTTTTACCCATAGGCTAACATGCTTTGACCAAAAACCTAACCACATACCACTTCTTTCTTAGAAGAAATTATTTCTTAATGAGGAATTCTTACTATCTCTTCTCTTAAAGAAACTCTCTCTTTATCCTGATGTATTAATAGTTGGATTGATCAGGAAAATTAATGGCTAAGTGTCAACAAGCTGACTTCCTTAAAGGAGAAAATGAAGTAAAAGCTCTTTCAGCTATCTTTGCATGAAGACAATATGAAAATGAGTAAATAGAATAATTAAAATACAGACTAAAATAAAGTGTCATTTATAATGTATTTGGAAACCAATATACATTATACATTTAAATTTCAACTTATATATGTAAGATCATAGCCAAGAAGGTTAGCCACAACTTAAAACTTTATCACCACCTATTTTTACCATCTTCTGATAATTATGAATTTACTGATGACTTTATGACTTTACTTCCAATCCTGATGTAGGAATTTGTTTAAATGTAATAATTAAGTGCCTTTTCTCTTTTGGGGGGGTATAATAAAGAAATAAATAACATATAGAGGATATTACTAAAGATGGTTCACATTTTAATTATGGCATCTACAATGGATATCTATAGGAATTTTTTTAATTAACTTTGAAATCCTCCCATAACCTCTCTGTTTAAAGAAATATTATCTCTGAAATAATTTGACTGAATATTTTAACAATTAGAAACTTATTCACAAGACCCTATTTCCATAATAAAATATTTTGACAAATTTCCTAAATATGTTCTGTATAAATTTTCTTGACTGTAAGATGTCAAGAGTATGAAAACAGGTACAGGAAATTTAGTTACATCGGTTTCCCAACCAACCCACCAAAGTCATTTAATATGATTGTATCAGCCATTTCCACTGGTTAGCAGGAGGTATTTCCACTAATAGCTCCATGGTGTCCATTTAATCATTTTTCTCACCAGACTTAGTTCATTTTCTGCCTCTTCTATTTGACCACTCTGAAGTCGATCTTCTCACTTTTTTTTTTGGAGAGGTTTTTGCTATAGGGTGTGTGAGCTCGCCAGAGAGACAGAGAGAAACAGAGACAGAAAGTGAGAAATCACCCCCCGAAGAGATGGTCATGATGCAATCCCTTCTCCTTCATTCTCCTCTTGGGATCTTGGGCACGCATGCACACGTGGCCGGCCTGAGTTTAAGCCACTGGGTCTGGGATTTGAACCACTTTCGACTACATGGGAGTCCAGCAATATAGCCATTACGCTAACTGCTGGTCCTGATCTTCTAATTTTTTAATATCTGATTCCAGTTTCACCATACCCAGTCTGTCATTCGTCATCTGCTCTGTATATTTTCTATATGCTGCATTTTTTGCATTTGCTGAAGAACATCAAGAATCTTTGTATACAATATTCTCAGGCACTCGTGTGTATTGTCAGACAAAGCCAACCCTGCAAGACCCGTGGTCTTCTTCCACAAACCCGCCATGATAGTGCAGACCTTATTTTTTACTTTTAAAATTTCTTTAGTGTTTATTCTACTATTAACGCACTATTCCAGTGGTTGAGTATTTTTAATGTTCATTTATACTTTGTAGAAATTTTGTTTTCTATTTTCCTTTTTCAAAAGTTTCTTGCAATTCCCAAGTATTTATTCTCATAAACTTTAGGGCTATTTTGCAAAGCTTCAAAATGTCATTTATGATTATATTTAGAATTGTATGACTCTACTTATTTATTTTGAGGGAAATAGTTTCTCATAATGTCTTGTTTTCCCATCCGAATAAAATATTTTATGAAGACTTGATTGATGTCTCAGTCAAATTTGTAACCATTCTTAGAATTCTTTTACATTCTGCATTTTTATTTTCTTGTTTAAAAAGGGATTTTCTTATTTACATTTATTAATATTTTTAAGAGAGTTTTTCAGCTATAGGACATGCGCACTCACCAGAGAGACAGAAAGTGAGAAATCACCCCCAGGGGAGTTAGCCACAGGGCAATTCCTTCTCCTCCATTCCCCTCTCAGAATTCTGGGCATGCATGCACATGCTCCCAGCATGAGTTTTGTCTCTGGGTCCAGGACTCAAATTGCAATTGACTACATGGGAGTTCAG